CCCCCCTTCGCTGCAGGAGCAACAGAAGTTCTACCATGTTGGAAACTGCAGAAAGCCAAGTGGCACAGGTTGCTGTAAATGAACAGAAGCCTCCCAAAGAGCCTCCTGTCTGCAAGTTCTTCAACTCAAAGAGGGGATGTCGTCATGGAAGACAATGTCGATTCCAGCATGTCATAAAAGATAGCACTACTCAGAGGGAAGAAAGGTCAACAGCAGCAGGAGATGATGGTGACGTGACTGATGAAGCAGGTGAGTCTGTGGACCAGAAATCAGCTCCCAAAGACGTGACGTCAAAACCTCCACCCAACAAGGGAAAACTGTGCTGGGTCTTCAGCCGTGGTCAAAGGTGCAGGTTCGGCAGTGACTGCAGATTCTTGCACGAGAGGCGCATAGGTGGTGCAGAAACAGGTGAAGACCCAAGAAGTAAGACAGAAGATCTCAGGGAAAGACCTGCTCAGTCTGCAAGGAGGACAGGGCAGAGCAGGTCCAAAAAGCTCTGCAGGTACTTCAAAAATGGCAACTGTACTATGGAGGATAGGTGCAAATTCTTTCACCCCAAGACACTTGACAATGTAGAAGTCAGCAATGATTTAAACAGTGGTTCCAAAGAAGAGCTAGTGGAGGAGGTTGCTCAGCATCCATTGGTGCCACAAAAGGCTGAGCAGCCAAGCCGTGTTATCCAGGCTGCCCACAAGCCAGTACCAAGACCAGCAAGGCCTACTGTAAGCATGGAGGGAGCAACTGATGAGGAACTTGGTAAGCTTCAAGAAACAGAGATCTCCTTGCTCAAGAAAAGATTCAGCAAGGAGGATATAGAAGATATCACTGAGGAAGGCAGCAGGTGCAAGGCCTACAAGATACGCATGTCTCCTAGTGACCCAGACTGGGTAAGTGAAGTTCAAAGTTGGTATTTTTGAAACCTTTGACTCAGAGCACATTTCTTTAAAACAGAGAATTGTTGCTTATCAATGTACCCTTTTGTTCCAGCCCTTTGATGTACAAGTCTTTGAACTCTGTGTAAACATTCCGGAGCAGTATCCTGTACAGGTACATTTCCTTGCCTTTCATTTCTGTCAGATATATTGAAACTGCTGTTTTTTTTCCCATTTATATAGACAATCTGGATGGTTACTTTGAAAAAAAAAGCAAGCATGTTATGATTGAGTTCCTTTTCGCAAATTGTCTTTAGGTTGCTGACATCAGCTTGACAATAGACCAAGCACTTCCAGAGACAGTTATCAGGTAAAACCTACCTATACCTCACTTCTTTCAGATTAAATGATGAATTACAGTTTGTGCTGCCTGCACTGTATGGTAGAAAATTGTAAAAAAGAAATTTTAAAGACAACAACTGTCACATAACTCTGTGTTTTATTAGTGCTTTGTAATTACACTGTGATATGTTTTCATAGTTAATATCTCACCTGTTACTTTTCTTCAGACACTTGAACCAGGAAATTAAAGACTGGCTGCAGGAGAAGCAGACTTCCCACGAAAGTACCGGACGAGCCGAGCTGATGTTTCGTCCCTTTCTGCACTGGTTTGACCGTAACCTGGAGGACATGTTCACAGAAGCAGCCAAGCTGGTATGTCCTTCCACTGGTAATTGTTGACTGCATAGTTCCAGTTACAATTTTTGCTTTGAAGTAAAAAGTATGGCTACATCCATGACCTGATGCAGAATAAGTATAGAAAATACTAGTAGATAGATGCTTACTTTGACACCACTCTTGATTCTATTTACCCTGTATTCCTTACAGTTCAAAAAGGAGGTTGTAGCCAATGCTGCTGGACTGGAGTTTGTGCCCTTTCAAAGTCTTCCCTCAGCACATGCCAAAGACAAACATACTGCAGCTGCTAGTCAGGAGTCTCAGGCTGCTACAAGGTCACAAGAGAAAGGACCTGATGCTAATTTACAGATAGGGAAAGTTATTCGGCCAAAGTCTAAGAAAGATGAACCTCAGAAGTACCAAGCACCCAAGGAAAGGGGAGAAATTTCCCAGGTTCAGAGAGAAGAAGGTGGCAAGTCAGGTGCGAAGACACCTGAAGTATGTGCTGCTCCAGTGAAAAAGGGAACTGAGGCCAAGTTCATAAATCTGGAGATGAGTGAAGATGTTGCCACAGTCTATGCACAACAGATTGTTGTTACAGTCCAGTGTATAAGGTATTACTGTCTCTTCAAAGTTACACTGTGTGATATCAGTGGTCTGACTGTCTGTGAATATAATAATATAAAGGGGATTTTTTGCTGCATGCCTTCATGTATCAATGATTGTCTCACATGAAGTCTATAATAACCTCTGACCTCATGAGTATTTGAAGCAAACAGTTAGATCATATGACTTTTTGGGGCAGTGATTATTCCAACACTTGATTTGAAACATTCAAATTTTTGTTTTTGATGGCAGATGTCTCAAATGTTCTGCTCCAGGTGCAAAAGCCGTCATGATGTGAAGACCCGTCCCCAGCAGCTGCATGTGATCAGCTGTCAGAAGTGCCAGCACCAGTACAAGGCAGCCTTCCGCCCTGCTGTCATGCACCAATACTCGCCTGTCATTGGCTACTTTGACCTGGATGGATGCGTGCCATTTGACCTGATTGTGGTGGAATGTGACTTCCTGATTGGCTGTCTGCAGTGTGACAAAGAAACAAACTTCAAAGTGAGTGAATCTTCAACACCTCCCAATCTGTGAAAATTTGCAAATTTGTAGTGTCCATTCAACCCTCACAGCTGCATATCAGGGATAGGTGAAAAGTTCTGGCTCTCACCATCTGTTACCAAGATAGGTACAGGCTTAAGATAGCACTTTTGGAATATTTTTCAGGGTGTCCAGCCTGGCCAGCACCGGGACTTGCGATGTTCCCACTGCCATCAAAGGCTGAGGCTGAAGGGCAGCTCAGTGAAGTTCACACAACTGCAGCCTTCTCAACCCTCAGGTCAGGTTCATACCAGTACCAAAACACACATTTAGCATTTTATACATTCCATATGCCTTCATGAAGGAGCTTTGGTGAATAATTATTTAATTTTTAAAAAATACAATATCTCTATTACTCAAATACATTAAATGATGGAGATTTGTGTCTGGTGAGAAGCACACAAACTCATCTTGCTCTGTTTTGCTCTGTATCAGGAAACGGCCAGGTCATTCATACCCAGACTAAGAGTAAGAGGGTTCCCAAAGACCCAGCTATCCAGGAGGGCCTCCCTCTGCCCAGCAATGGTATCTGTAAACACTACAAGAAGAGCTTCAGATGGCTCAGGTACGTAACTGTGGTTTGACTTGTTGAGAAGACATGATGGAGGAAAATTTGAGCTGAAGCTGTCATGTCGTGCACCCAGCACCCTGGTCGTGATGCCCCAGTGAGGGGTTTTGACCAGTATCACACAGAAGTAGAAGAAGTAGCTATAGGGTTGTTCAAGTAAAAATGGACATCTGTGGATATGGGCTTTGTTTGCATTTAAATGCCTGTTTATGACAATGCAGCACCAGCTAGGCACAGACCTTTTTATACACATGAGTACAGAATAAAAGACTAACTACCAGCAATACACATTTCTTCTAGGTTCCCATGCTGTGGTAGGACGTATCCCTGCGATGTGTGCCATGATGAAGAACAGAAAGGAGACCATGAGATGAAACTGGCCAACAGGATGATCTGTGGCTTCTGCGCCAAGGAACAGGTCAGCCATGTTGTTAGTGAATCTAATATTGATTGTTGGTTTTGAATGCATTTTAGTCAATACTGACGTGATAAATTTGCTGCATATCATCACAAGGTATTGACAGCTTCTCAGTTGATAGCCAATGGTTATGTGCACATGAAATAATGTGATAATTGTACATGTATATCTACAGCCATTTGCAGCAGACAAGCCGTGTGTTCTGTGTGGATCCAACATGAAGAAAGGAGGCGGCAGTCACTGGGAAGGAGGCAAAGGCTGCCGGGACCAGATCAAGATGAGCAGGTGGGAAAGTTTACAATCATGGTACAGTGGTTATGGGTAGCCTGAGATGTCCATACCGCCTCTTGTAAGGCTTAAGCCTGGTTACCAACCTATTTTAGCTACTGAGTCTCTTTCCTCTCTGCAAAAGATGCTCGGAATCTGAAATAGGTTTAGTAACAAGTCCTGCAAGGCTTAGGCATAAAGATATCAATAGAAGGGTCCATACATGTGTTTGACTTTGAGTCCTGGTACTTTTTCCATGGACCCTATGTTTCGAATGTCTGTCATGTCAAACTTACCGGTAGTCAGTTGTGGTATTGTTCCTGCAATTACTAAATTTTGATTTAGTAAATAGACTAGTAATGTAATCTTTTCTTGATATTGCTTGTTGTGTTAAGATGATCATGACCTGACAGCTATTTTGTATCCTGTTGTCTTTAGGAATGATAATCAAAAGTATCATGGGATAAACAAGACCGTCTCACGGAAGGAGCAGGAAAAAAGGGAGCCAAAGAAGAAGGCTAAGAAAGCTGATAAATAAGGGCAATGCCCTGTATCATGTGCCTCTATCCTCAGTTTTCAGTATTACTCTTAATTTCTCACTTGATCACAATGTTGTGATTTCTGTTATTTTGTGATCATAAGCATGGTTATAAGTCTACTGTGAAAAATGGAACTCACTTTGATTTCTTGATTTCATGCATATGTGCTGTAAATGCACCACTGATCTTCTCATGCAAGTTTTTAAAGCATGGAAAAATTTGCCATAGCTTACTACACTGTATTTGGTAAAAGGAAATGCTCTGCAAGGAGTGGAAAGGGATGTTCGAATGGAAGTATTAATGGATAAAGGTGTTTGCTGAAGTTGTAAAGGGGACACAATACACACTGTAGTGCATATCAGAAGTAATGCAACCTATCAGTTTGTTGTATATTCCAGAACAAATAATTTTTGTGGGAATGTTAGTACCCCAGCTAGTGTGTATTAACTTGGCATATGTCACTGTTGATGGCCTGAAAATACCGGTGCTGATACATATATGGTAATGCGTCTATTCGGAGGATGTAAATAGCAAATGAATAAAGCATAATACAATTAAGTTTTTCATTCTTAATATCAATAATTGATGGATAATAAGTGCAGGCAGTTAACTTCTCCATATAGGGGCAAAAACTAATCTAATAGAAGCCTTATATATTGATGTGCCCTAGAAATGAATAGCCAGTTGTGAAATTAAAGAAATAATCTATGTAGATTGGCAGGTCTTGATAGACCTACTTGAAAATTTTAGTTGCTGTGAGGATACCTTTACCTATAATGTTAGTTGAAGCAAATGTACTTGGCTAAATCCCCTGGCATGTTATCTGTCTATTTTGCCAATTTTCTACTCTTTCCAGCCACTTTGAAGCCTGGTAGAGGCTACTAGTATTACACATCAACTACCTCAGTCCACACACAGACATTACTGTATAAAGATGCCCTCATATTTGAAACCAAAGTACACCCACATATTTTTGCTTTTACAATACCCATTTTGTACTAATAGACCATGAGACTGACTGATTTGAAATCAATTAATATTTATTTTGCTTACATTATTCATGACTTTCAAAGAAATGGCTGTCCTGTAAATTTTTAAAAACCCACTATTCAAAATAGCAAATGCCATAAAATACATCCGTACGTCAATACCTAATTGTAAACAAAAGGCACTTGCATTGTAACAATTTATATAAGATGTTAAAAACACAAAACACATAATAGTAGACTACTCAAACTGTACATTATGACATTCAGGCCTCCATACTGCAATTGTTAGTTTTGAGTATCCCAATTATTTGTAGTAAGCCCTTATACTACCTTCTGCTACAAGTTTTGAGACATTGCATGACGTGTACATGGATGAATAACTATGGGTTAAATTTGACAGATACTCTGATATAACAAAACAAAACTACACTGTGTCAAAATGTACAAGAACATATTATGAACATTGATAGTACACTATATAAACACTGATTATATGACTGTAGTATGAGGGATTACATGTAGTTGTACTTACGTATATACATTCAGACAGACAGACATTCTCTCTTCATTCTACAGCTTAGCCAAAAATTTACCTTGCAGAACTTTAAGCCCCAAGAAGTTGCTATATAAAGGTACCTTTCCTACCAGTACCCAGGTTCGCTATTGTGCATCTTAGTTTGGCTACAAAGACAAAAAAGGGCAACACTAGGCCTTCTTGTCTTAAGGCCAGGAATCTAGTTATTCACATTGCATATAAGGATAGTCAAGAACAGTCATAAAAAATTTGAGGATTATTACATCCTTGGTCTTTTCTACTGGGTAGATTTCACAATAATCGCATACGGCTTTTGGACCTCTTAACGTGAAATTTTGTGCATGGGTGATTTTATACATCTCACTTGAGAACATCTTAGTTCCAAAGTTTGAATCCTGGTGCCTTTCAAAAGGGCTAGTGGAAGAGGAACATTACATAACAGACAGTAACTAGCTACAGATTGACATTACCATAGAAAAGATATTTCCAACAAATACTCACATTACTGATTCTAAAATAAGTGTAGTTTTTGAACAGCTGGGTTAAGTTCAGCAGCCCTTCTGGATATGCTACCTTGTGCTTAGGCCTGCTGGGACCCATGTCTCTACACACTTGACCTAATATCACATGTTCTGTCACAAATTATATAGTATAGGGACAACAGAAGTTCCCATGAAATGCCACCAGGTACAAATTGTAGCTGAAACTCTCTTTGATCATTCCTTTGGAATATAAAATCATGGCAATGAGGCAGTACTGTGTCAATATAAATGACCCATTGTCAACAGTGTTAACATTTACGTGATGACTGAAGGGAAGACTGTTCTGCAAAAAATTTCCCTGGTCTGGCTTTGTATTGTACCCAAAGAAACCACAACTCCACTAAACGATACTTGCTTTTCTTTGATCCTTCATATTCTTATCAAATAACATCTACAAGTAAAATGATAGCTAGCCTAGATAGAGCACTATCCCAAAGAAAGGCTGTTTGAAACTGTGTTCCACATCTAAAAGAAAGCCTTGTCTCTCTTATTTGTGCCATCAACATGGATTTGGCTTTTCCTTACAAAACCTTAAAAATGTTGACAATGGGAATCGCATGATCACAACCCCAATCATATGGTCACAGCAGAATTGGCACGAATATATGTTTTGTCTGTTTAAAAGCTGAAGGATTGCAATAGCTGCATATAAAAGCCAGCATACATCTCAAAGACTTTTCATGATATTCTAAAAGAAAGAGAGGCATAACCTATGGTCCATCTGCTGTAAAAGTCTCTGTAACTGTGTATACAGTAACTTGGTCCTAGCTAATGTGACACTGATACTAATTAACAGCAGCAGCATCATGATATTGTGTTGAATCCAGCTGGAAGTAGTCTTCAAGTTTCCACTGCAGGGTTTCGAAGGTGGGTCGTTCCCACTCGTCTTTCTTCCAGCACTCCAGCATGATCTGGTACAGGCTCTCCTGGCAGCCCTGGGGACACGGCATCCTGTAGCCATGCTCCACCTGGTGCAGCACTTCTGCATTCGTCATGCCTGCAGGAATCAAAACACACATAATGTCATTGATCTTCGTCTTGTCATAAGGACTCCATGCCCTTGAAAACTACGTACACTGTACATGGTTTTGGTAAATACTTCAGAAGTTATTTGTTGAAGATGTTTTTTAGAAGTACATTCATGACGTTTATAAGCATTTACCTAGTAAATGTATAGTTTAATTTAATTAAGCTTAATTTGTAACTACATATTACATGGGACTTACAAGCCACAAAGAAGAGTGTAAACGAAATATACAGACAGACAGATCCAGATAATGGCTTGCTCACCTGGATAGGGAACTCTACCATATGTGATCAGCTCTGTAAGCAGGATACCGAAGGACCAGACATCGGACTTGATGGTGAATCTGTTGTAGTTTGCAGCTTCTGGGGCAGTCCACTTGATGGGGAACTTGGCACCTACTCTGGCAGAATACTCATCATCCTGTCAACACACACAACAATATGAAACCATCAGTAAACACATATATATCCAAACTCATAAACAATGCCTGATACACAACTGAATGACATCAATAAACATGAGATGTTTGTACAACAAATTGCTTTACCTTCACCAGTCTAGCCAGCCCAAAATCTGCAATTTTGACGATGTTGTTCTCCCCCACCAGTATGTTTCTTGCTGCCAGATCTCTGTGGATGTAGTTCTGTGACTCCAAGTAGGCCATGCCGGAAGCGATCTGTGCTGACATGTCAATCAACTGTGGCAGCTTCAACTGCCTCCCTTTTCCTGTGATGAGCAAAGTGACATGTTTATTACAGACTGTGACAACAAACAGTTAACTGTTGATATAATAGTAATAAGTGTTATGGTCCAAAATGCCATAGAAATGTTTTGTTTTTGAGAAGGGAATTCTGCCTACCATGCAGGAAGTCCAACAGACTGCCATTTTTCATCAGCTCAGTTACAATGTAGATGGGTTCCTCCAGTGTGCAGACTGCATACAGTTGGACCAGCTTGGGATGCCTCAACTTCTTCATGATGTTAGCCTCCTGTAGGAACTCTCCTGGGTCCATGGTGCCTGTACAGGACATGGGCAAAATCACAGGAATGATCTTCTGCTGAACACAAAAAGCAGGGAGAAGAATTTAAATACAATTTCTCTTCTTCCATTTTATCTGCCTCAAAGTGCATGTAATATTAACCCTACCATTATTAGGGCTAAAAAACTTCATTTCTCATTTCATGAGATTTATTATCATCAGTAAGCCTGCATTCTTTAGCTTGCCAAATGTTGCAGATAGATATTTCAAGCCCTGATTTTACATGCTATTTAATGCAAGATCACCCACATTACATGTACATGTATACCTCCATCAATAATCAATACTCATCATACAACCAATACTACTGTAGGAAAAAGATGATTGTATGGTGCAGTGCTATACCGGTAGTGCAGAATGCTTGACCACTCACCTGTTTTTAACATCTTGATTGCCACTGGAGTGGTACTGTTCCACAGGCCCTCCCACACTTCACCAAACTGACCAGATCCCAACTTACGCACCTGAAACATAGCAGAAATGTCTGTCAATGCAATAGATAAACTATTTTATAAATAGGTTTTCATATGATCCTATAGCAATGTCATGAATCCAGATATTCTAGAAGACAATCATCCCCCTCAACAGGAGAATCCAGTCATCCACCCTGCATATCTACAAACCTATGCAGATGTTATCCACAGATGATCTACAATGATAAGCTCTGTCCTAAATGGATCAATAGAATACAAATGACTTTCTCCTCCCACCTTCTGCAGTGAGGAGCGAGGGATCTCCCACTGGTCTACTGTGTTGTAGGACAGACCTGCTGTTGTTGGTTTTTCAATCTGAAAAAAAAAACCCACAATGTTAACTTACTTACTTTTACTTTGTTTATGATGTTAGCAATGTAGTAAAAGCCTAAGGCTTTATAGCAAGACAGCATGACTCTGGGAACTTTGTATTCCAATGAGAGTTTCTAACGTTATATATGCAAAAGTAACTCTACACTCAAGGTAAGAGGCAAAGCAGTACTCAATCAAGGTGAACTTACCGTTGCACAAGGTCTTCGTAGATTCACACACAGCCCATCTGCATCTTTTGAGTAATGTGATACCAGCTCTGCTAACGTGTTGAAGGTGCATCGCCGGGCAATGAAGAAACCTCCATCGTCCAGCTGGCGAATCCTGTAGTGTTTTACTGTGTCTCCATCTCTTACTGTGGGGACAAATACTAGTATGAGGTGGTCACTCAATGTTCACAAAAACATATCCTCCAAGCATAGATGATTGCATGCATGATTGCAAAATAGGTGAACCCTTTAAATGCAGTAATAGCCAACAAAAAAATAAAAGTTATGAAAAGTTTTGTTAAAAGAACAGATAGATTTGCAAGAAAAGTTACCAAATTCCTCACATATGGAATCAAGTTACTTGTTTCAATGAGGACCAGAATAAAACCATAGTTATTTTATTACATTTGTACAAGCAATGTACACAATAGTATCTAAACTGTACAGCATAGAAATAGAAAGAGACCTTCTTACCCGACAAAGAGAAGTCGCTACGTCTGCTTTCACTGTCCCTTATAAGGAATGACCCATGCTCGTTCTGAGGCATCAGTAACATCTTCTCTGCTTCAACTCGCTTGATCTTCCCAAAGTACCATCTGCAAAAACATAGTTGTGTGTGTAAACATTCAAATCCATGGTAATGCAGGATTTCAAATCAACCTGGGTGGAAGTATCAAAAGAAAGTCATGGACTTTTTTATGCTAAGGTCAGCATTTCAGTCAGGGCATAACTTATACAAGGCCTATTGGTAAATGCCATTATCTAAATTCTAAGCAAATGCATTGTTTCGGGTCGTTGTTTTAATATCTTTCTGTGGCACTTCCCTTTGCGTAGGACATTTTCTTTCTAGACGCATGCTACTTGTTGAATAGAGGTGGGACAATTTACCAGGTACCAATCAAAGGGGACCCTGTAACGTGTGTAAGAGTAGCTCAACTGTTCATAATTTGAGTTCACTGACTGACTGAGCCAAACTGGCCTGGAATCACTTTCACTTTTACCTTCCTAACATGATTTTATGATACATACTACCGTATTACTACCATAAGGTTTATAACCTTTGTACTAATTGTAGTCACTAGTACAGCCAGTCACACCAGCAAGCCTGGACATATCACATATCAACATATCGACCAATCAGACACCACAATCATGGCTGAGAATGAGATTAGATTAAAAAGCATAGGTATAATGTTACATTTGTAATTTCAAATGACCAATAAATGTCTGGCAGCTGAATAAGTTGCATGATTTACACTCCTATTGGGGTTGAGAGATGGAGGGGGGGATTTAACCGATGAGTTTATAGCATTCTAAGAATTCAGAAATCTTTCTTCATCTTCATGCACCCAATGCTACAAGTACAACGGTACAACTACACGACAAGACATCTGTTGCTGTTGTTACATACAAATGTATGCACAGTAATACTAATAGACAATGAATGTTCATTTCTTCTTTATACACGGTTCAGGATGCACCTAATGTTTTGAAAGTTAATCACTGGAGTGGTTCTTGATTCTTGTCTGTATTGTTATCTGTACAAACGGGAAGTTTTTGCCAGAAAACGTCCAATTATCGTGTAATACCACACATTATCTTACTTCCTGATGTGGGATTTACTCTAAACTCACAGCGTTTGTTCAGCCAGAAGTGCTCAGAACCTAACGCCTATAAGGTAAACAAATTGTACATATCGATGAAATCGACCCCTGGTTGTAGATGAACGAGGTACTTACGGTTCTGCCTCGATACTCCTGACTTTGGCGACGTAGTTTGACGGAATGTATCCCTCCTTCCTGACCCCCGGAGCTGCCTGCTTCAGCGTCCGCGCCAGCCACCAGTCCCCGGTACTGTCGTTGATCACTTCGAGGTGATCCCCCTTCTTAAAACTCAAGTCCTCCTCCGTGCGTGCATCGTAATCGTACAATGCCACGAAGATCTTACTCTGTGTCCCGACAGGCGCTGTCGGGAGGTCTATGAGACCCGTACCTGGCGCAGTTCCTGTGGAGGGGGACGATGGAGTTTGCGGGCTGGCGGATCCTGTCCCGCTGGTAGCCACACCATTTTGGTTGTCCTGCAGCTGGGTGCGCAGTTCTCTCGACCCCTCGTCGTACTTCTGTCGACTACAGCATGTTCCCATGGCGATCACGGACGATATGTTTGTTTATCAAGACGCATTTGACATTGCAAGTTCGATCGGTAATGGGGAAAGACCAACTGACGCGGTTATTATTTGGTTGTCCGAAAGCAGGAAATAACTGACTAACCTGCGAGACCCACCCTACCCGGTCCGGCATGCTCTGGGCGCCGTGAAGCGCCGCCTTTTGACGCAGTGGAGAATTACAGGGCTGTACAAAATTCTCATTTCGGGAAAATACTGAGTATGAGTATACAAAGTATTACAAGAAAGGGGTAATATTATTCCTAGTGTGTGCACATGATTGTGTGCGTATCACATTTGATCAACGTAACGTGTTTTCTCTGAGTGTTTGCACCAATGTTAAAATCATTGGTTCAAGCAAGGTGGTTGATTTTTAAACCTCCTTGGTTCAAGGTCGGCAAAACTGTACGTTTTCAAGAGAAGGAGAATATTAAATAAAAGAAAACTACGTAAAATGTTGAAAATTAAAAGTGCACCATGTATATTCCATATAACATGATATAGGAGAAAGAGGAAGAAGACATTGGAGGATTTGCAGCAAGGCAAAGTAAAAATCTGACCTACAGAGGTCATAAATTTGTCCAATGTTTCTATGAAAAATATCTCTTGATCCTTATGATGTAATCTCGTATACGTGTAGGAAAAGCTGTTGAAGCCGTTGTGGACGCCCCTTAGGGGCTCCGCGGATACCGCCTGGACTCCCGAAGTGACCTCCTCGGAGCCCATGTAAATAGCCTCTGTTGACGAGAGCCGACCTCCCATAATCCTCTTGACTTCCGGCAACGTCACTTTGACTTCCGATAGTGCTTAGCAACAGGGAAACACCGAGAAAGAACATCAACATCTTGAGAAATCGGGCGCGAAGGCGTGAAACTTTGCACGAGCTTTTCTACCAAACCATCTGCTAAAAGAAGCGGGATGGTTGGGATCAAATGTGCAACAACATTGTGACATTTATCGTGCTGTGAAGGATCTTGGAGACACGTTGGAGACAAGTGGGCGAATAAACACAAGAAAACATGGCGGCGGCGGCGACTGCTACTCAAGGTTTGAACAGAACGACTGCAAGGATGCCGAAAACGCCCATCCCTATCGTAAACCACATCATCCCGGACGAGGCAGTGGGGATACAGAAGGTGGTGCCCCGATCTTCAGACCTGGCAAGGGTTGTCAAGCTCCTTACAGACCCCTACTCCGAGAACTTGATTGAGAGACACCTACATGCCCTAACCAAGTTGGCAGCCAAGTATCATAGGGGGTTTCTAATGCGCGACCTTGTTCTAGTGTTCAAAGTTCTGAACGTGTGTGCAGACAGGATTCCCATCGATCCAAGTTACGTGGAGCCAATGTGCCAGCTGCTACAGATCTGCAGCTATCCATTCCTGAAGGAGAAGACCTCGGATGAGACTGCATACGCACAGATCGTGGTGGAGTCCATCTCTCAAATGGGTTACCTCATGAGGGTCCCCAACAATAAAATCAGAGTTCAGCTTTGTCAGTCTCTTGTCAGCTTCTACTGTGATGCAGATAAGTATGCCAAATCACCTCTAGAAGGCCTGAAACCAAGCACAAAAGAGTACAATATCAAAGTCGTGGAGAAAAGTGACGTGGCAGAAACACTCGTGAAGTCTCTTGCTCTCCTGGAGAGTGATCTTGAGGTCAAGTTGAATGTCCTGAAGGTCCTGCAGTGCTTCTCGGTCAACTCAGACTCCAACTGTGACCAGATGCTGAGTGCAGAGGCTGCCTACAGGATCTGTTCTCGACTGAACGATCCAGACCCATCAGGACAGCTGATGTTCAGGTATGCAAGGATTAAAAGAATGATTGACATTGGCTTGTACATGTGTACCATCAAAAATCAAATAAAACGATCAATCTGTGCACCAGTCTCAGTAAATGCTGATTGGTCTTGATTTTCTGAAATTGTAAATAATCAGGTCACCCAAGCCCTGGTTACAACAGCTGTCAAATAACATTCAAAATTTTAACTGTGTTCCCATGTCTCAGTCTAACATTCATATGATATAGATGTGTACATTTACGATATACATGTAGTAACTACTGTTACCAATGTGTTTTTCCAGGTGTACAGAGTGTCTGTGGAACCTTGTGGAGAGAGGAGATAACCAGGCTGTAAAACGTCAGCTCAACAACCTGACCTGTACCTCCAGCCTGAGGGACGCCTTCTGTCAGCAGCTCACCAAGGGACACAGCCACTACGATCGCCAGCTCAGAAATGACCTGCTAGTGCTGGCCACGCTTGTAGCCCAAAGCAAGGACACCCACTTCATTGAGACAGGATATGCCAAGGAACTTGTCTTGTTCACCACCTTCTCCGAAGTGAAGAGTCACAACCCCTTGGTGAGGAATCTGAAGCTGGAAACCAACCACGAGGACTTTGAGTTGAAGAAGCTCCTGATGAACATCATGGTTCTCCTCAGTAGGGATTCAGCCTTCATCCCCATCATGTCGGAGGGAAGGCTCCTCCTGGCGCTCTTCCATTACATCAAGGGGAACGAGAGCCAGCTGGGCCCGCGGGACTGGAGCCCTGCACAGTTTGAAGAGCTGCAGCTGCAGGCCATGGCGACCCTGTGTACTGTCGGGCCGCTGATGATCGAAGACTACATGACGTGCCAGGGGAACACCAGGCTCCTCCTCCTCCTGGAGTGGTGCGTGGGGACGGAGGATTTTGGTGGCCATGGTAACAGCTTCCACGGTACGGGTGGACGTGGGAACAAGCGTGCTCAGATGCGCCACTGCCTGCGGCTGCTGCGGAGCATGGTGTCTGTCGGGGACGAAACGATCCACCAAGACCTCTGCGACCAAGGAGCAATGAGCCTCCTGCTAAACATCCTGTCCACTGCATGCCAACACATGGATGAAGATGACACCATCGATGTGGAGATGCAGTGTGACATGCTGTTCATCGTGTCAGCTCTCTGCGAAGGAGACATGCACAGGAAAGAACTGTTCGGGTCCCAGGGTGTCAACATCGTGGTGCAGTACCTCAAGACTGATCCTGAGAAACTGAACAGTGGCCTGGGCCATAACAGACTGCTGCTAGCAACAGTGGACTGTGCTTGGTGTGCCATCATTGGGTCCTTCCAGACAGAGGACCTTTTCCTTGAGAAGGAGGGAGTTTTCCTTCTTTATGACCTGTTAGAAGTCTGCCCAAAGAACATGCAGAATGTGGTCCTTGGTTGTATATTGGATCTGTGTGAGAACCCAAAGACCATGGTACACATCAACACGTGGCGAGGGAAGAAAGACCGCTCTGCTCCAAACCTGCTGATAGAGATCTGGAGGACTGAGGAGTCTGAGATGGGGGTGAGAAGAGGGCCAGACGGAATCATAGTGGACGTCACACAGCCTCTAGCCGGGACCTTACAGGTTAGCATGCACAGGTTACATCCTCTCATTCTCACTTCTATTTATTCCTTCAAAAACAAAGGCATACAGTAGCTCAAAATATGTCCTGAATCACAGAAAATACTGCATCTCAGAAGTAAAGATAAATGATTTGCATTTCAATGGTTTGCAGTTGTAGAAGTGTAAGAAATATAATGCAAGCATTTGCATCCAAACTTTTTATGCTCATTGAATATTGATTTGTTATGCATTTTGTTCTTCCAGGAACAACAAGGCGTAATCCCTCTGCCAGCTAACTGTCCCAGTCAGGCCATCGTGGATGTGTCGGAGAACATGCGAGCCAAGCTGTACGCCCTCTTCTGCAAGATTGGGTTCAACGACCTGCCGGGCATGTCCACGGAGGACTACGTCACGCTGGCGGTGATCGAGAGGTACCTGGACTTCAAGGTGGGGGAGGTGTGGAAGGAGATCAGAAGCGAGCTGGACCAGGAAGGGATCCAGCCCACCACTGCTGACCACAACGCCGTTGAGACCATCACACGCGCCGCTGATGAGAGAGCCAAGGCTGTGGCCCAGACTCAGATGGACTTGTTGGACAACCAGCAGCAGCAGGTCTGTCCTTGTGACTTTTCACAACCTGCAGATTTTTAGTAGTACAAACTGTACAAAGGGATACTATATTGTACTGGACTAAAATTTGTGTTGATAGAGGTTTTCTATGTCACCTATCTTGGAAAAATGAATTTACTAATAGCTACAAATACCACACATATTTTGCAGCCATGAAATAAACACAGTTAGAGGCAAATTTGTATATCTATTAAATGTTCTTCATATAAATGTACAGGACCTAATGGATGAACAAGAGATGTATGCCAAGGTGCGAGACAACCACAGGCAGAGGGAGAAGGCCATCGCCAGCTGGGAGCACTTCGTAGCCAGAACCTCCAACTACCATGTGCTGAAGGAAGCCAAGATGAAGCAAGAGATGTCCATAGAGGCTTCTCGCATCCAGACTAGGCACCAGGTATGTATAAGTGATCTCTAACAAAGGGTCTATCATTTTAAAGTGAAGAATGATTACTTGACCTAAGACCTGTGCAAGATTACTACATGTACATTGCATGTAGCTTACTTTTCTATTGCCTCCTTTAGATGCCTAGGCAATATCAATTTGTTTAAACTTTGCCGTTTATTTCTCCCATCTAGAAGGAGGTAAAGTTCCACCACACAGAAGTACAGAACCTGAACACCACCACGTTCTGTGGCCGCAGTGTGCAGGTGAACAGCACCCCTGTGGAGCTGACAGGCGCACGGCTCAAGCCCTACAACATCCAAAGGGACATGCAGAAGGCAGTCACTCTCAGTGACAGTACCACCATCATTTCATAGACGTATCATCAAAATCATTCTTGGTGCCATTTTTCACAAAACACCATATACTGTATGGCTGCCAGTGTTTTGAACTACAGTGTAGTAATTTCTTCCCTTTGGGAGAAGTGCTCTTGTTTTTTTGCACAGTGATTTGATTATCTGTGTCTGATTTGATTGACTGTTGAAATCTTGCTCTGCGCAAGAGCACGCTAACTGAATTTTGCAATTAGGCAAGGGAATGTTATCTGGAAATAAAAGGAAAAATTTGAAATTACTGGCTAGATGTATGACATACAGTCATAAAGTGCTGCACATGCATAAAATTTGTATATATTTGATTTGTTAGACTATGTGTGCTGGGAGAATGTTTGCTGAAATCAAACTTTATCACTAAATGTTTCAACTTCTACATTATTCACATATTATAACTCAAAATGTACAATTTTTCTACATGCTGTTAAGTATTTCCAATACATTTAATAGCTTAGAAGGGATACCCAAGAAATTGTCAGATAAACCATTTTCAAATGCACTGTTAATGGTGAAAGAGCAATTTTCCTTTTGTGTACATTCAATAAAATTTGCAGTGCTTTGATCAGATGATCTTTGTATGTATTCTTTCATGTATTCCCTGCTGTAGATGTTACTTGGTTTAAAGGTAATCTGTCTTGCCTTCTCTCTGTTCAGTGCTACAAGGTCCCATCAGCAGTAACTAGAACTAGCAAGTAGTAAAGTTAGTACTAGTAGTGTTATTGTATGAACTGGTACATGTACATGTATAACCAGAAGTAACACTATTCATGGACACCACCATAAACAATCATGACTTTGGAACGATGAAGTTTGAGGCAGGTATATTTACCAACTTTGCTCTACATTTGAGGGAAACATCTTGCACATCAGGAATTCCAAGGAGAACCAGTTTTGGAGTTGGCATTTCTTACAATATCAGTAATCCCATAAAGTTTGCCTGTCCCTTAAGAAGTCTGCCCATTATGTAGGTTTGCAAAAGTAACATAAAATATTCAATAATCTCTCAAAACAATGATTACACCTATAGGTACAGTAGTATGCTTGAAAATGTACAATAGAGCTTGAACAAATGTCTGTAAAATTGCATATGTGTGTACCATATGCAAGTATATGTACACACTTCTGTTTTTCAAGCAAAACATTTACATTATAGATAGTAATGCTAAAAGCTTCTAAGGAAGTCCTTATTATGCTTTCCTTTGCAACACATTTTGAATAATATGTAAATCCTTTATATCCCCATCATTCGATCCATTACTGCATCATATACAACATAACCATTAATATTGTACCACTTAGATTTCATACATAATCTCATATTTACACAGTACTCTTATATCACTACGACGTCAAAATCATTGTATAGAGCATCCCACTTGGGTGTGACAGCACACACATCTCTCATTCATCGGCCGTGGGGGGATCAGGTCCAGGTCTTCATCATCAGGAATTTCATCCAGCCTGAAACCATCCTTCAAAAGCTGCTTCTTCAGGTCTCCATTGATCTGTTAGTGGTGTGCGAAAATGAACATCATGCAGAGCAAATTGAAAATTTGATTAACGTTATGTAAGAAATATGTATTCTACTCAGCCTTCTCCATGTTGACTCTTCCAGCAACAAAATAAAATTTGGCACATTTCTGCTGCAGGGATAAGCCTGAGAGATGTACATGTGTATGTTGAAAATAATACACCTTCATGCACTGTTTTTAATTGATGCAAAGTAGCTTTTTTGGATAAATGATATGACATATAATTCAATTCCTGCCTTTGTTCAGCTTTAAATATAAAATAGATGATGCAACGGTATAAAATAAGCTTTTGTTTACATCTTTTTTGCAAGCACCATTTGCAAATCAAATCTGTCCATTTACCAGAGATAATGGGTAGTACCAATCTTACCTTAGATGCAGTACTTGGCACTTCAAATTCATCTTCACTGTATAAGAGAAAAGAAGACATGTCATGTGGACAGGTATGTTATCATGGTACTCCTCCCTAACAAACCAAACATGTTCCTTTCAATCTTGTAGTACGAGTACACATATGTAGCTGAGAAAATATGGTCCTTCCAACCTGTCTGTGTCAATCTCCACCAGGGGTCTCTGCTCAGCTGTCCTGTGGTCCATCTCACTAGATAAAGGTGATCTTTCAGGGACTGCTAATCTGTAGGGACATCAAGGGTCAAGATGCAATTGCAATGTACATTGTACCTTCATATTTAGTACGGATTGAGGAACCTAATCTACCAAAATTCTGCATGGTTGGCCTTTGATAAGAGGAAACTTCAAATCCAGAAAGAATCATATACAAACTACTCTCCTTGGAACCTGACTGAAATTGGAAATGTCATAAATCTGTTCCATTCCTCGACCAGTTACTGCTGAGAGAAAATTAATTTAAGCTGCAAAGGGTCTCTCAAGGCCCCTCACATACTGTAATTATGCTGTGTGTGTGCTGCATTTTCTGGGGCATCCCTTTTCAATTTCAATACTTGGACACACTTACACTTGTAACACACCGTATATTTTGCAACTGTATGTACTAATACCATTTTCTATGCAGCCTTAAAAATCAGGTTGTAAAATAAATGACACCAACTCTATATATGTCACTTTCAAGCTATATTTAAAACATAAACCTACCTTGTTATTGGAAGAATCAAAGACTTCTTGGGTTGTTGGTCGATGGGAGGGGCAGGGACTGGCAGGACATGACTCGACTGTTGTACTCTCCTGGTGATTTCTCTTTGTTTCTCTGGACAAGACAAAAAAAAAAGAGAGAATAAAGTGTAATGTGCTTGAACAATAAAAACAATAGGTTACCTTCATAATCTATGCCCACAGTCAAGTAGATAGAAAAACGTATGTCAAATACATCTATGCAGACTATAGTACTACATGTGAACCCAGAAGGAAATGAAGACTAGTATAGTACAACAGTTTAACTTTCTTTATACCATTTATGGTGAACTGACTGACAAACTGCTCTTTTGTATGAACTTGTTGACACTGAATTTGTCATTCCTTTTGTTGTTTAATTAATGTATATGGTCATTGATACATGATATCAATATCAAAATCAAGTTTGTAAGTTACTAACATTACAATTTAAAAACATAAAATTGATATCTCTTTATTATTTGATTACCTATTTTCTTCTGTAACTGGGATGGCCTGATGTTGACTTTGATAGGAGGAAGACTCTTGTGGCCCATGCCATTTGATACCTGCAAAAAAGAAACAGAAAGCTTGCAAAAAACTGCTAACACATGTCTACCCTCTATACTAGATAGAAATGTCATGCTGAAAATGACCCTCCTTGAGACTTGAGTCAGATGTCGTTCTGTGATATTTCTCTCAACTAATCCTTTGGGGAAGGTAACATTTGATCTTGAATAACATTTAAAATACAACTCCCGATGTCACTTCCAATAATGAAATACATAGACTAGAGCTTTCATGTATAGATGGGGCTTTTAGCTTTGAACGATTGATGAATGCGTTTTGCATTGATTGTTTTATCTGGTTTCACCACAGAGTGGCGGGGAAGATAATTGCTTTCAGGGGGCACACCCCAGTTTATTTTGGGTCTCAATTCGATTCTGCATACCCTCAACTCTAGCGACCGTCTCTTTCAGGAAATACCTCTTAAGCCAAAACACTCTGTTTGCAAATGAAGGATATCCCTCTAGCTACGAGAACAAAAGAATTTCAATTTCTTTCACCTCTCACATTTTAGTAAATTTTAGGGGGAAAAAGAATTTTTCGATGAAAAATGATGCCAAAAATTGACCATTTTCACGTGGAATTAAACCCATCACCCAGATTTTAGCCACCGATATGACTTATATGGTCGGAAAGAGAAAACCCTTATGTATTATTAAGAAAAGTATAAAGAAAATCCTAACACTGAGATTATCGCAATAGCCCGTCGCGCGAGGCATAGCTACAGCACCCCCAGAACGCATACAAGGCAAAACTAGGTCAAACCGAAGCACCGCGCTCAGGGCGGAAGGACACCCGGAAGTAAGCCTCGGGCCCGAAATCAATTTTCACCCAAAACACGCCACTTCTTACACTTTCCAGCCATGTTAGTAGTTAATCCCATTTTGCAGCAGATTATGAGAAATGTAAACTCAAACATCAACCATCGGAACCCCTTCGTCACTTTTTTTCCGGGCACTACAGTGGACCCCTGTCGCGGAAGAATTGGTGTGTGCACCGTTAAAGTCAATGCAACCAAGACACTAGGCGTGGGCGTTAACGTTCATGCGCTAGTACAAGTGCAGCTGCCAGCTGGCTTGTTTATCAAAGATGCGACATAAGATTTTAATACTTCCGAGGCAGTATAACCATAGAATGTTTACATGTAAGTACACATGCAATATGACATCAAATGATTGCGAAGCGCCAACATATTTACACTTGTTCCACTATCGACGTAATCAAGCTATTATATAATTATTATTAGAGTAGAGTAGAGTAGAGTTGATTCATGCCGGGTAGGAGTCCTGCTCCAATTTGGGCCGCTCTTCAGTTTTTCATTTTCATTTCATTTTTCATTTCATTTTTCATTATTCATAAATCTAATCTAGGAATCTGCCTATAGCTATGGGCAGGGCCATAATAGGTATGGAAAGTATGGCGGAATGTGGGGAACGTAAAAGTCAACATATCGGTATGAGAATGCTCAAGAACTACAGACAAATAAGAAATGCAGCTAATATACAGCATAACGTACAGCGCTGGCACAGTACATGTAAAACGTCAGGTGGTTCAACCGGAAGGGGGCTGAGTCACTCGTCTGCTTTACCCCACAAAATGTATCATGTTTTACTTACAGCATGTTTAGAAGGACTGGAATTGACAGACGAGCTACCACTTGATGACTCTGGTGTTTCACTTGACATCTTCTCTGTAAATCAAGAACAAATCGCTACAAATGCCATATTTTCCGGACTAGGAAAAATGAACTTCCGTCGCCATCTTTTCTCCAGGGGTCAGCGCATGGCCTGCTGGGAAGGTTAGAACCGCGCATGTGCAGTAATCTCCATGACGACTCCAAAGCTGAAGTGCCGCCATTTTGTCAACCTAGGAAGTTCTGATTCCCTCCTCAAGTAAAAGGCGTTTTCACGTCTTAAAGAGGCACCATGCCGGTTGCAGCGAAACCGGCGCTTAAGAAGGTATGTGTTTGTTAGTTAATCGTGCTAGCAGTTTCTCTCCATAGAGATCTTAGAGATACCTTGTGTTTTTAATTAATCCGTGACTCAGTGTTGATTAGTCCTCGCACAAACTTCACTGGGAAGTTACTAGTAAGTTGTTATATACTAGCACCGCCCCTTACCTTAATAGAAGGTACTGTAATCATCTGATCAGAATGCTTTGAGTTGACTGCAAAGATGGAATGACATCAAATGTTACATTGCAAATGTTCACGTTGGAGTTGTTAAGGGCCCTGGGTAACTACACGTCCAGCCCTTAACAACCAGGGCAACCATCAATTAAGTGCCCTTTTAATTGCCAGAAACACTCTTTAGATTTTAGGTGTGATATTTTGTTTTCATATCTTTATTTCACCGATCTTTCAGCCGGCAGACACCATGTCTAGCCAGGGCATCGCCAGCAAGAAAGCAAGCAAGGGAGGGAAAGGCAAGACTCCCAGGGGAAAGGTAAGAAATGCTGGATTGAGTGATGACAATAGAGCTATGTCAGACTAAAATTTGGAAATCTTTTCACTGTGAACTCTTTTCGTTACCTGTCCTGCCAGGCAAAGGTCTACCTGTCCTAACTATGTGGCTGCTAATGTATACTGATTTCATTTGTACAACACATTTAGTACAACACATTAGTACAACAAATCAAGTTGTAGTGATATTGTATCTGTTCATGGAATGATGATACATGTATTTACTTTCATATAATTTTGACACACATTTTATGCATTTCACTTTCTTTACATAGTATTCCTGAATTAAATGTTCTGCACAGCATGACCACATCATCATAAAAGAGCCTGCATAAAATGGCCTTGTATCCACATGTGTTTGACTCTGATCATTGTTCTCTTGTTGACAGGACATGGATGACATGTCAGAGATGGGGGAGGTGGGAGATGAATGGATGCAGGTAAGTCGTCATAGAAATATTCATATCCTGATTGCTGAGAGGTTCCAACTAATATTGAATCTAGTATGTTTGCATATATTTTCCAAAATTCATTTCTGCAGAGAATGCATGCTGTTCCACACTGTATTAATTATAGTATGGTGATCTTTGAAACTTTTGATGATTGATTGTCTGTCATCATTTACAGCAAAAAACAATGGTGAAGCCAGACGACCAGTTAGAACTGACAGAGCAGGTACGTGTTTCACTGTAACTTTAGATGTCATCATATACCATGTTCCAGTCAATAGCCCCATTCAATGAATATCTAAAGTTGTATTCTGATTCTACAGTACTAGAAACAAATTGGTATAATCTATAAATATATAATATGATATAACCTGGTATGAAAACTGATGAAGCAACGATTACCGTACCAGTTGCATGAAAATGTCCATGATTCAATGTTCCTTCAGAACTTTTATTTTCATAACATATTTCACACTACATTGAAACAGCTCATAGATAAAAAGTATCTCTCATACAGTGACAAGGCATACCGTTATCCATTGGTGAAAACTGATTTGCAACTGATGTTTCAGTACCATGGAGAACAGATGCTGCCCATATGTCTATTATGGTGCTCATGTATGACTTTGTGAAATGACATGTTGTCTACAGGAATTGAAGGAAGAATTCACCCGTATCCTGACAGCCAATAATCCACATGCACCACAGAATATTGTCAGGTTTAGTTTCAAGGTAAGGACAACAGTGTGAGATTACCATGATAGCTTATTTCTAAATGCATGTAATGAATAGACTGAGTGATTAAACATTGATAAATATCATGATTTTGTTTTGAATTTGACACCTATATTTCTCTGATGATACTTTAGTGGGATGAAATGTTGCTATGTTAGTCTTTGTTATCTGGTCTCTCATGGGAATAGATGTACAACTTTACCATCTAGCTGTTTTTGAGGAACACATGCATATTACTAGGGGCAAAGCATTCTACTGTCTTTACCATTTTCCTTGTCTGATTTCCCCAGGAAAAGGTGTTTAAGCAGGTAGCCAGTGTTGACCAGCTAGCGATCCATTTCTCCCTGGATGGAAACATGCTGCACAAAGACTCTGATGAGGCCAGGAGGCAGATGGCTCGAGGTGGTCTCGCTGAAGGTAGGTAATCAAAAACTCAAGTAGACTTTAGATTGTCTGTCACATTTGCAGTTTGGCAAGATCATGGTGTCACATTCCACATGGGTCTGAAGAATGTGCCAAGATGACGGATCAACTTGTTGAAAGTCTGTTGAAGTTGCAATTATTTTCGCCTCACCCTTTGTGTCTTTCCCAGCTCCCAGTGAGCCAACAGTGGCTGAGGGAGAGGAGAAGGCTGGAGAGGCAGCAGCAGAAGGTGGAGAGGGGGAGGCAAAACCTGAGGTTAGCCAGTCTTTAGCCTACCTTATATATATGATTATGTGCCAAAGGTGCATAAACTACATAATCTGAATTAATGTGATATCCTCTGTTATCACATTTTATAGTAGGGAGAAAATGAGCATGTCATATCAATCAGTAAGTCATAAGAACATATATTTAATGGAATAGATGAAACATTGAATGATCCAAGTTGCTCTTGGTTAACCCTATGTTTATTTGCTTCAGGGTGAGGGAGGTGAGGCAGAGAAAGAGGAAGGTGCAACTCAGACGGCACCTGCTGCAAAGGGAGGGGACACCAAGAAACTCACCAACCAGTTCAACTTCAGTGAGAGGGCATCTCAGACCTTCAACAATCCTTACAGGGTAAGACTTTATCTAAGCAGCTCTGTGCCCTATGGCAGTGTTAGTATTTTAAGTAAATGTCTGGAGCACTACACCTTGCATTGGTGCAGAAAATACTCTTGTAGCTTAAACACGACATGTAGTTTCATTGAAGCCTTTAAAGTCCCATGTACTTATCTACAAGCATGCTAAACAGACTTTGCTGACATGTTCTACAGGAGAGAGGCACGCAGACTGAGCCCCCACCTCGCGTGAACTTCTCCTCCACAGCCAACCAGTGGGAGATCTACGATGCTTACGTGGAGGACATCCAACGTCAGGAGAAGTCCAAGGAGAAGAAGGGCTTCCGTGGACAGCAAGAGAGCACCAGCAGGAAGAAGATCTCAGCTATCGAGAGCCAGGTAAGTAATGTGTTCCTCATTGTGCTCTCAATGAGCTTTAATTTTTTTCATTCATAACTGCTTAAGCTAGGTGGGGATATGCAACACTAGTGCTTCCTTACTCTGTTTAAACAGTGTTTAAATATATTAGGGAAAGACTGCTTTGCCTTACTTCTACATATTTGGCCTTCTCCAGGGAGATGACATATCAAGAATCGAGAAGCCTGCCAAGATTCTGGAAAGGATGGTGAACCAAAACACCTATGATGACATTGCACAAGGTATGAATTTGTCTTAAGATTTTTGGTCTGCCTATGATGTTTCAATGTCGGATCCTCTTACATTCATAAGGTAGACATGACTTTGTTCCCTGCAATCAGAATTTGTAGACGGATGGCGGCTATGTCCTGGATTGGATAAATCTGTCCCTTCACCTGTTGTCAGTGATTGTGACATGTATATGCTACTGGCACACATCATTACTTGCTTAATGCCATTGTTACATGAAATGTAATTTTTGAAATCTTTATCAATTTTGTTTTTCTTGCAGACTTTAAGTACTGGGAAGATGTGTCTGATGAGTACAGGGAACAGGAGGGAACCTTACTGCCTCTGTGGAAGTTCAGCTATGAGAAGTCCAAGAGACTTGCCGTCACCTCCCTCTGCTGGTCAGTCAATAGATATTGTTACTCCTTGTAACTATCTTATGTCAAACATGAGCTGCTGGCATGAATTGATGATGCAACTGGGGCATGGATATGTATCTTAACTTCCTTAATAAATGTTTGTACATTCTTTGGTACAATTATATGGTACACAATCATTTACATCACATTTTCCCTTTGTCTCTTACTTCCAGGGATCCCAAGTACAAAGACCTGTTGGCTGTAGGTCATGGCTCATGTAAGTCTGCTACTGTTTCTGCCTCTTGTTTATGTCCTAACTACGTGATAATTTGATGTTGTTGCAAAATAATAGGACGATGCTTAGAAGCATTTCATCTTGAGGATGGTAGTGTTGTACAATCTTAATGTCGCTTCAAGACTATGACAAAGATGATCTGATTATCCTGATGACTCTATTCAGGTTGGGTAGAGGATAAATTTTATTGGCCTTTTCAAGTTGATGGATAATTACCTTTGAATGGAATGGCATCTGCTGCTCTATCTTTCAACAAGATAAACTTTTCACAGTCTCTGTAATATCTCTCTTATAAAAGAACCACTTTATTTTGCATGTTGATGGATGATCGATGATGCCTCTTCTTCAGATGACTTCCTGAAGCAGACCCGTGGTCTGATCTGTCTGTACTCCTTGAAGAACCCGTCCTTCCCAGAGTTCATCTACAACACGGAGACAGGCGTGATGTGCCTGGACATCCACCCGGCCTACCCTCACCTGGTGGCTGTGGGGTTCTATGACGGCAGTGTGGGGGTCTTCAACCTAACGGAGAAGCTACAGGAGCCCATGTACAAGTGTACGGCTAAGGGAGGGAAACATACAGACCCTGTTTGGCAGGTAGGAAACCTTAACTAACTTGAAAAGGTTCCTGACACCATTGTTTTTCAAACTCCTTTGGTTACTTTGAAATCAGACAGACACTGGACACTTTAAATATCAGATAGAAATCTTGAAAGCAGGAGTGGAATATTATTGACATATTACAATATTTGTGCCTTAAGCAGTTGTCCTAGGCTGCATGATAATCAGATATCCCAATAGGTGTTTTTCCATTCCCTTGCAGGTCAAGTGGCAGAAGGATGACTTGGACAACAACATGAACTTTTTCTCCATCGGAGGAGATGGCAGGGTGGTCTCCTGGACTCTGGTCAAGGTGTGGTCACTTGGCTACAAATGAGAAAACACTTAACATGATGTTTTGTTTTTTCTATATGATGAGGAATATATTGCTTTTGACCAGTCCAATGGGTTTGGACCTTTTGGTCTAGTGGTTAGGGCGTTGAGCTGGTGGCCCTGGTTTGATTCCTGGGAGCCAAGGTGTCTCAATACTGAATATGCATGTTTAAAAATATTTTGTGCCCAAAACATTTTGCAAAACTCTACATCCACATTAGATCATTTTACATAATAAGTCATATTTTTTCTCCTCATTTAGAACGAGCTGCTGTGCACAGATGTCATCCTGCTGAAACTGGACGAGTCACCTGCTGACGGAGGTGAAGGTACCCAGCTTTTCACTCTGGGTAAGTATCAACCAGTCTGAGGAAAATCATTCACTACATCAACGTACCAAACAGACATAGATACCAAACAGACATAGATTGTTTGACATAGACCCTGTTAAAACTTTAAAAACAAAAGATAACTTTTAACCTGGAAGTCCAGTAGGCCATCTTGTGTTTGTTTGCATCTGTTTACGTCTTACAATTCTCAAAATTATGCCATAATCTTACGTAGAAATCTTCCTGCTCTATCTACAGGTTGCGGCACAGCCTTTGACTTCCACAAACAGACAGATTACCTGTTCCTGGTGGGGACAGAGGAAGGTAAAATCCACAAGTGCTCCAAGGCCTACTCCAGCCAGTTCCTGGACACCTTCAACGCCCACAACATGGCGGTGCAGTCTGTCCGCTGGAACACCTTCCACCCTAAAATCTTCATCTCCTGCAGCGCAGACTGGACAGTCAAGATCTGGGAGCACACCTCCAACATGTAGGTTATACATGTACTGTATGATATAGAAATTAAAAGAATGAATCCTATGTAATAGGTGGGCTGTAACTTTTCAGTGTATCTTAAAGTTTGTGTCCTTTTAATTTTTTTAAAAATCCTTATAACTTTTTTTAGTGTTATTTCATTTGAAGATTCTGACAGCAGTCTAACCTTAGATTCAATAAGATGTTTTGGCCAGCATTTCTTAAGTTGTTTTCTTGCCATAGGCCACTGTTCACCTTTGACTTGGGCAGTTCTGTGGGTGATGTGGCCTGGGCTCCCTACTCCTCCACAGTGTTTGCTGCAGTCACCTCTGATGGCAAGGTAACAATTGTTTTCTTTTCCTTTTTTTTCTGTAGATGTATTTCGAGAACATTTGTCAGTTTGTGGAAACCATTATGCATCACTTCATGCAGGACTCTGGAATAACCAACTTTTGTTTGTTGTAGGTCCATGTCTTTGACCTGAATGTGAACAAGTATGAGGCCCTGTGTGAGCAGGTTGTTGTGACCAAGAAGAAAACAAAGTTGACTCACATCGAGTTCAACCCCAACTACCCCATGATCATTGTTGGAGATGACAGGTCAGTACAGGCCTCACTTTATTTCGTCCTGTTGACATTTGATAATTCTCTTTTAATTGAGGTTGAGATCATAGTAACATGGGTATTCTATAAGGTGTAAAAATGTGGGGATTTGATCATCTAATTTTGATTTTCTTCATTCTTTTACTTGTACAGGGGCTATGTTACAAGTTTGAAGCTTTCGCCCAACCTTAGGAAGATGCCAAAGGTAATAGAATCAGGTGGCATTGTGCTGCTTTTTTTCTTAATCTTAAAAAAGTTAACAAAAAGGGGCTAAAATGCAAAAACAATATGGCTGTTAGATCCAACACAATACCTTCAGATTTCAAATTTATCTTGTTCCTACCTAGTCATGTTTTGTCAATTGTTTTCATCTGTAGTAGAGTTATGATATATTTGTTTCCGATTGAAAAAGGAGGAGTGCTAGCTACTGTCACTGAAACTATGTTCTTACATTACTGCATGATCTGTTGAAGTTAGATAAGTCAATGCATAATGTATTTGTTGACTGAAATTACTTACTGCCTTCTGCTGAAAAGGTGGATATAATTGGTATGCGCAGAGGACGTAAGGTATGTCAGGACACTGTGGGTTGGTGATAGGATCAGGATGATAACATCACCTCATTTTGGTACACTGATGTAGCATAGCTTGACACAAATTTATTAGCTGTGTTTTAACCACCTGAAATTATGTCACACTGGTGGTAACTTCTACAAAATAATGCCACAGTGAGATAGAAAATGTAACTTTGGATTATAAGTTGCACTCATATGTTGAAATATAAGGAGTACCAAACTTGGCATACAAGGCCCAAGGTATAATGAATCAATCATATAGAAAACTAGATTCCTTTGGTTAAAGTTTTTCTGCTTAGTTTGATAACCTAGCAAACTTTGTTACTGTTGATAAAAAGAAAGTAGTTCATTTGGTCACAGAGAAAAAATCAACTCCCATTTTGGCAGTAGATTGGGAAGAATGTTTGGTCATTTTCTGAAAAAGTCCAACGTCTGCAACACATGTGCCATGTATAAAGTCAAATAGGTGAAAAGTGGCTTCAAGACTGACTTAAGTCTCCTGAAATACATATAAAAACTATGCATATCGACTATGACATAGTAACACAGGTGCCAATTTCGTGTTCTTTGCAGTCACCTGCCAGACAGAGTTTACTGATCAGTAACTATTGAAGAGGGTAATCAGCATTGATTGATTTTGCTTTTTTTCTGTTTTCAGGAGAAGAAAGGTGTGGAGGCAGCAAAGGGACCTGAAGTTGAGATTGCGAAGATGGACAAGCTGCTCTCGCTGGTGCGTGAGCCTCCTCCTGAGAAGAAGTAACATGTTGGAGAGGGTCGGCTTCATCAGGAACAAGCTGGGACATTCTCTTCCAAGACATATTTTCTTCACTGTACAGCCTACAATTGTTACATACTATACTATACTCAATGAGTGACTACATTTGATAGATTCCAAATAAAGCCTAGTAGCTTGTGGAATTTGTAGGCGGAATTCTACTATCATACATTTGAAAAAGGGGTTAAACTTTACAGAAGCAACACAAGAATGAATTGGGACCCAAAAGTTTTGGCTGAAACGCACCAACCTAACCCAATGAATTCCTGTGTTGGTTCCGTTAAAGTTCAGTCCATTGTTTATAATGTCATTTACCAACTCAGATGAACTGCCTTGATGGTACTCTTAGACTAATACATTGTACTTATTATATTTAATTGCCTTTTGTCCTTGGAGTGGTCATTAGCAAGTTCTACTTATGGGTCTGTTTTGTTAGAATTCATTTGTTTATTATTTAGTCAACATTTTGTTATAGTGACTCGACTCTCCAAGAGGTCTGTATACATACACATGTACATGTATATGTACCTGGTCTTCCTTGACTGCTGTTACTATGAGAAAGGTTGAATCTCTACTGAGGACAACCTCTGCCAAATGTATAAGCATCATTTCTAAACACGGATCTTCTATTTGACTGTGACATACAATGTATTTTCATTTTGCTATTAGTGTAAAAAGTGTTACATATTGCATGCAGTTTGGAGACATTTAAATTGGGTTTTCACAGCTAGGTGTTGAAGCAAAATGCCCTCTTTGTTGTCAGTAAGTGATGTATTGCTGCTTGCTGTGAATAGTACATACTATTTCTCTTCTTCAGCTCCATGCTTACTTTGCTTGAGGGGAATTGTAAAATATTATGAAGTATACATGATGTACTGTATATGGCAACTATGACAAATTTTAATCTTTAGATGTTTTGTGACATTTTTGTACATACTGGTATCTGAGCCCAACCTTTCTGGACGTCTTGGACCCACATTTTCTGGATATATTAACTTCACTATTATTATATTTGCATAGAATTTTGAGCTCGATAGATCTACTCCAGTTTAATCATCGACAAGAGCACTTTTCAATAATCAAAAGAAAAATCTAGTTTTGATTTTACAGAGCACAAATAGAAATTCATTAACTTACAACCCTTGGTGGCATCATTCTGCATTTGGTTTTCTTTCAGTATAATGCACAAAGATGATATACAGTGTACAGACTTTCCTGTTCACACCACTGTTTTGTTGGTTGATTTGATGACTTTGAATAAAAAGATATGGTGGATTACATTATGAATGTGACAAAGAATTGTGATATATATACCCACAGAGACCAAAAATATTCATTAACGCTACATAGAATGTTAACTAGAATTCCGCAATTCCTCCCTAGCTGAACATTATCCACTTTATTCTGAGTTCCCAGGAGACACTGTTCGTTCAAGTTGTCTTGGTGGTAACGTACAACACGACGAACGGCCGGTCCTGTTGGCTTCAGAGCGCAGTCATCAAACGTCGTCTTTGTCCATGGTACTGAATAGTCGGTCATTTCGGTATGCCATGGCATGGTATCTCCTGTACATGTGTCAGAAGTGACGGTCACCGGCTTTGTGGATGGGGATACATTTTTGCCGGGGAGAGGAGACTTGTACACTTGAGATAGAGGTCCCCATATCGCATCTGGTTTTGCAAAGTCATGCATCGATACTAGAAAAAAATCGATAAAGACCAAGGCAAAAAATGATTCAGGGAACACCAAAACCTTGTGCAGTTAGCACAGAGATACACACACACGCACACACACAGTAGACGCAAACGGAGCAATAACATTATGGAGTAACTCCGATCAGTGATTATAGTTACATAATTTTGGCCATCTCTGGGATGATTCATGTGAAACATTTAATACGGCCCCATTCTCCCAAGACATCCTCCCGCGAGCTCCCGTAAGGTTGTTTTAACGCCGCGGGAGATTAGCTCTACCGTGGGAGAATACTAGTATACGGCCCCGCGAGAAGTCGAAGCAGGTACTACTAGGCTCTGAGCCTTGCAGGGGGCGGAGCTACCGCTGGCCGATACAAAGTAGCTGTCAATCACCCGTGTTAACAAAGGCGTGTTGACACATGAGCGTGACGTGACCCAGGCCAGGCGTACCGCTATAAACTCTCCAGGTTACGAATGGCGCTGGGGTAGGCAGGGCCACGTATTGTCCTGCTTGGGCCTTTTATTTTTGTTCCAGTTTTGGGGGGAATGCTTTTGTGAGACTGTTGGAGGAACGTGCTAATGATTCGGAACAAGTTGGTTGTGGTCTGATCCATTCCCCGTGGCCCGGGAACGCGTACGATCAGCTGAAGACGGGACCGTTACTCACACCCGGTGTTTACAGTCTACGGTACGTACAAAAATATACCCTCACTTCATCATGTCTAAACATTCCTTGTTCACAATGAAGATGGATCACAATAGGATAACGTTGGCGTGACCCTTGACGTTTCAACACTCACCCTGCTTGCGACAGGTTTCCAAGTTGCAACATTATACGTACTTTACATGCCACACATGATAGCGTTGCTACCGTTTCCTAAAAAGACCCCAAATAATTTGCTAACCACGCCTTAAATGCTTACGTTACATTGTAGCTGATAGACTGCTTGTGCCTCACATACATTTTAAGGTTGCAAATATAATGTAGCTCGTACATGTGAACCGAAAACGTGTACTGTGTAACGTTACGGTTCTTAGCCGCACCAGGTGCTGCGTATTTTATGGTCATTTTTAGCGGACACGCTACCATGGCAACGCGGCACGCCTGATTTAATGTAATAGTAACAGTTTCAGGTGTCAGCCAGCCCTCCCCCTCGTTCCTCTAAACATTCAGTGCTTTTAAAACTTGGCTGTTGAAGTTTAATGATATTGCTAATGCAACAATTTATAAAGTTAAATCTGAATGACCCATAAATTGTTAGAAGTTGATTAATGCATCAATAGAAAAGAGTTAATCATAAGTTGGTATTTACTCCGTGAAGGAGGTCAGGACCTCCGGACGGAGTGTTGTAATCGGCTGATTTTTCATGTTCGCAGTCAAAACACTGGGTTCTCTTTGTGTAATCGGCACGCAATTTTATACGCCGTCTGCGGGCATGCCCGTGTTGATGCACGAATGTGTATTTTTGCCGTTGCTGCTTTCGCGGTCAATGTAATATCGCAGACGCACCCCTACAATTACGAGGCGAATTGGAATGGTCCAGAAAAACGCGTTGTTTGGAATAGCAGTGGGGTTCAAAAAAGTTCATGCAGATACGGGGTGGTTTTTATAAGTGGTTCCAGATGTTTTTGCCCATGGTTAAGAGATGCCAAGTTTTTTGGAAGATGTTCGCAGCCAAAACGCATTCTTCCGTACGTCGCATTTCTGTGTAATTTCGCATGTGGTGTTGCATTATGTCCGGGAGTGATGCACGTCTTTTTATTTTACCGTAGTCTGTTTTGATATTGGAGTAAATGCATATTTTAGAAACATCCCTACTTTTACAATCCTGTGGAATAGGCCGTA